ACCGTTGGTTCACCGAGTAATCTGCAAGGTTTATATATAAACCTTGAGTAATCTGTGCCAGCCCCAGGGATCTTTGATAGGAGAACTTAGGACTGATTGTATGTCGAAATCCCCCCGTAAGATGGCATTAGCGTCTATATTGAAATAATGCAGAAAAGAAGTATCTACGACCGATACAAGTGAGCAACAAGTAAATGCGACTATTCGGGGTGTACGGTCCAGGTCTTAATTAAAGAAACAACTTTTTAAAAAGCTAATATTTCGGTTATTTATTGTAACCTTCCTCAGAGCATTTTTTATTGCTACAAGAGATTAACAAAGTTAGAGTTATAAATTNATTTGTTGCTTTTTCAGCCATTTATTTAGTTTATCTAATATTAGTCTTAATATTATTTATTAAAACGTAAAAATCATTGTTTATCTTAAGATTAATTTGAATTTTGAACCAATATAAAAGTTGGTTTGAAACTTTGCTTATAAAAGCGCCATCTTTTATCTCTTATTTAATACCTCGTAATTAACTAATAGTCGTTAATTTAATAATTATATTCTTTAAAAAATTAAATATTTATTTAATTAATAATAAAGCTAAGAAAAACGCAATTGCTAAAATCGCAAATGAATACACAAAATAATCGCACAGGTTGTAAGCATAAGCGTTAAAGCAAATGTAAGGTTATTTTAAAAGAACCGTTGGTTCACCGAGTAATCTGCAAGGTTTATATATTAACCTTATATATAAACCTTGAGTAATCTGTGCCAGCCCCAGGGATCTTTGATAGGAGAACTTGGGACTGATTGTATGTCGAAATCCCCCCGTAAGATGGCATTAGCGTCTATATTGAAATAATTTAATTAAACTAACAATTTTATTATTAATAGTGGGAATGATGAGAGACAGTAATAACAATTATTACCAGTATCATTCTTTTAATTTAAAAAGTATAGATTCCAAATCGTGTTATATTTTTAAATTTGCCGCTAATTTCACCTTTTAAAAGTTGAAGTTTGTTCAGAATGACAGATGAAAACGTCATTTTAAAGTGATTTTTCGGTAAGAGTATAATAAAATAATAATGGTATGATTAAACCATTAAACCATAATTGACATTATAGCTTTGTTTCAGCTAACATTCGTTATAACTGGTTGGAAGCTCGTCAGATGCAATCTCACATGTCATATGATGCAATAATATTCAAATGTGGTGGCATTATTTGACAGGTGTAATTGCCATAGGTAATTGCATCTGAGGAATTTCCAACCAGTCGGAACGTTAAGTGGAGCCACGTAGTCTAAACAGTTATTCTGTGCTTGGAACTTTTATATTTAAACCCAATCTAACTTATATTCTAGTGGTTCGGTTCTTAGCTGAATAATTCCAAAATATCCCCAACAGATGGCGCCACATGCGTTCCATTTTTTTATTAAAATTATTATTAATATTATTAAAATTTTACTACAATTACAACAACATTTATATTTATCTCAATCGATTTTATAAATTAACACTAAAACCCGACAAAGAACCAAGAAAAATTAAACCACAAACATTCAGCGTTCAAAATTGAGGTTATGTTTTCAACAAAGTGAGGTTATTTCCCANAACTCGTTCAGATAATTCATTAATGGAACTATTACTTTTCTTTATAACATCTAATGTAATTTTTATCTCTAAATTTAAAATACTTGCCGCCCACCTTTCTCCAGTCCTCTTAATATTTCTTAATAGTTCATAATTTCTGGTCTCTAATAATCCCGTCCAATTTTTTGAGCAGTCCCTGATATGTGTAGGAACGACTCCTAGTCTTCTACTACCAATTAGAAAAGTCAACCGGTTGTTCATTTTTGCTAGTTTGATGTTAAGTCTTGATATTTATTTGAGATTCCTAGTGGTTTCTATCCCAAATTCTCTTGTGATTTCATCAAAAAACCCCATATCTATAACAATGCAGAAAAGAAGTATCTACGACCGATACAAGTGAGCAACAAGTAAATGCGACTATTCGGGGTGTACGGTCCAGGTTTTAATTAAAGATACAACTTTTTAAAAAGCTAATATTTCGGTTATTTATTGTAACCTTCCTCAGAGCATTTTTTATTGCTACAAGAGATTAACAAAGTTAGAGTTATAAATTGTAAATTTAATAAACACTTACTTGTTTTTTGAAACTAACAATTGTAGAACAACCGAAAAACATCATCATAATTAACGGATCATAAAGGATCAAGCGAACTATTAACACAACTGGATGAATCAACGTGCGTACAAGATGTCTGACAGGTAAAACCTCTTTTATATAAAAATAACAAGTGCGTTCTAAATTTGAANTATTGAAAAGAGATAGAGTGTTTGTAGGTTATGTTTATTATGTTTTGTTCATGGATGTAATAGAGACACTCTATTACATCCATGGTTTTATTTTGACACTGTCACACCGCAAGCGCTATCTAACGGACAATTTAACTTGTTTTAGGCAGTGCGGTTCCTACGTCACAGAAAAGCCGCGAAATTATTTCGTTTAAATATTTGCTATTTTTCATTTCAAATTACGCAAAATATAAAATTGATCAAAACATTTCTTTTACTTTGTGTTCATGCATATACTTGCATATATCGTTTGACGTAAAAATTTTCTCTAAATTTAATAAGTTGTATGACCCCATTGTATAGTCGATTTGCTTATGTTTGTATCAGTTAGGTGACGTCCATGTCCATTTATGTATATCTTTTCTAGGGAAATGTGTGTCTTCTGCCATTATCGTTGCTGACACTTTGTAGGCTGTTATTCGCAATCATTTCTCTGTATAGTACTTACCTGCCTACTTTGGAGTTGAGCTCTCCGACTATCATTCGGGTATCGATTGTACTCTACATGGTACTGAATGATCCCAATATCTTGTCGGTATTACCATTGATTGAATGTCTTTTACATAATCTGAATTAGAATCGGATGATGGTAACGTAATAAATTTATTCATGATTGGTTCTGTTTAATCACCTTCCTACTCCTAGGGTGTCGGAGGTTTGTTAGCTTTTACCCTCCATTTGAACATGTACGAATTCTGTCGCAGCATTATTAACTGAATCATGGTAATTCCTGTACGCTGGTATATGTCGTGTATGACGAGATGGAGGAGCTGCAGAACAGTGCTGTGTTAAGCGGCCCATACACGACGACTCTTGCAGCGTCGAGCCGCATGAAGCATCGTGTGTAGGGAAGCGCCAGGTCTCATGCGACGGCATCGGCAGCAGCGACGGCGACGGATTCAAAACCGTGGCAGGCTCCGGCGCCTTGCAAGAGTCAACGTGTATGGGATTGCGACGTGCATACGACACCGAAAGTATCGCTTTAGTTTATTTCCAACGTCCATCGAAATGATGCGTTCGCCGAAAAAGATTTTTGGATAAAATTTATAAACCTATATAGCATGTACCCATGTTTATGGGACTCAAAATCAAAAAATTACATCGACAGAAACTGAAAAACTACCGCCATAAATGAGCTTGTAAAATTGTCTGGCAGTATTTAGCTTTCTGCCAGCAATATTTAATTTTCTACAAGCAGTATTAGTATTCTGGAACCAATTTATAGTCTATTGATAGCAGTACCTAGCCTTGTATAAACAATATCTATCTTTTTAAACAGTTTCTAGTATTGCATAGGTAGTATTTATCTTCCGCCAGGAATTTTTGATCGTCTATAGGAAGTATTTAGTCTTCTGCAAGCAGTATTAGTATTCTGGAACCAATTCCTTGGCTATTGGTAGCAGTACTTAGGTTTCTATAGACGATATCTATCTTTTTAAGCAGTTTGTAGTATTGTATAGGTAGCATTTGTCCTCTATAGGAAGTATTTAGTTTTCTGCAAGTAGTATTGGTATTCTGCAGCTCTGTCTCTCCAGATATGCATTGGTATAGGTCCGGCGATAGCGGTTAAAGAAGTGCGGCACGACGCCACAAGAGTCTACGTGTGTAGGCCATTAAAATCCGTCGCATGCGATGACTCTTGCGGTGGCTTTGGCGGCACCGCCGCAACAGTCATCGTGTATGAGCCGCTTTAGGGTCGGAATTCGAACTGGGCATTTGGTATGATGTTAATTTCCTCCATTTCCTCTGCCAGTCGTGATATCCGGCTATCTTCCCTAGAAGCTATAGGACGGTAGTTTTTGGGTAGACTCGGTGATTGTTCTACTTTCAACAAGACGATCACATCTGCGGATTTCCATGTCTTGGGAAAATACCATTGCCCAAACATTGCAGTTACGATTGTAGCGGTCATTTGCTCATACTTTTTTTTGTAATGTCCAATTCAACACCCTAGTAACCCAATTGATGTTGGTGGTTACGGATTTTTTCCCGTTTTATTGATTTCGCTCGACCATCAGGTTTAGCCGTTTTATTTCTCAAGGCTATCTATTTACTTATTTACCTATTTACGTATCTACCGATTTATTAATCTATTTATCTATCGATATATTTATCTATCTATTTATTACCATCATTTAATATATAGGTACTATTAAACTGTATTTGCTTGAGTTTTGTAGGATCCTTCAATTTTGTTCCCTTCAATTAATCCTTCAATTAATGTACTTGCATACATCGTTTGACATAAAAATTTTCTCTAAATTTAATAAGTGTGTATGACCCCATAGTACAAAAACCTTCAAAATTATCAAGAAATTTCGAAATAAGAATTTAACTTTCAACACCCTATGCCTCGAAAACTACTGACATTTGTATAAGAGATGTTACGTTAAATCATCATATTTTGGAGTCTAGTATCTCCGGTATTCGGATTTTCCATTCTTTCTGACTCACTCTGTATATAAAATATAAACCCAATCCAACCTGTATTCTAATGGTTCGGTTCTTAGCTGAATAATTCCAAAATATCCCCAACAGATGGCGCCACGTGCGTTCCATTTTTACTACGAAGTTTTTGTCAGTTTTTGTTTAGAGAGTTGCATTCAATTTCAACGAAGCTATTTTCTATGATCTGTGCTTCTGGTTATTCTGTGCCTATGTTACCCAATGTTCTGTTCTTTAACCACCTTTAACTTTAGTGAACTAACTTATGTTCTTAAAATGGCTGAGGTAAGTTGGATATTATTCGATCCATAATTTTAGATATTAATTGTTACTTTTTTAGAACACTAAATTGACTATGTTCCATATCCATGCTCTGAATGGAGAAGCTTTGGTTAACCGCCTGAGGGAATGGGGTTTCATCCCCAAGGAAGGCGAGTACAAGTGTCCCCTATGTGAAACTCCACTTGTCTTGCAGCATCGTAGTAATGGTCCTGATGGCTACGCTTGGGCGTGCAATGGACGTGTTTCCATCCGTAAACAAAAAAAACGGAAGTGCGCTAAAAGTGTAGCGTTGCGAAAAGATACTTTTTTTGAACATTCTAAATTAGAAATTAGACAAATTTTAGGCTTTGTATATTTGTGGGTAGAAAAGACACCCGTTACACTTATTGCGAAAATTACAAAAATGTCCTTGCCAACTGCATCTGGTTGGGCATCGTTTTGTAAAGAAGTCCTGTTGGATAAATATCTTCTGTACCCTGAAAAGCTAGGTGGTCCGGGTTCTATCGTTGAAATTGATGAGAGTAAATTCGGTAGAAGGAAATTTCACCGAGGACACCCAGTTGAAGGAAAATGGGTTTTTGGCGGTTATGAAGGCGAGACAGGACGCGTGTTTATGGAAATTGTGGAGGAAAGGACTCCGGATACCCTAGTACCAATAATTCAAAAATGGATTCTGCCTGGTACTATTATTATTTCGAATTACTGGAAAGCCCACAATTGTTTAGAAAGGAACGGGTATGTTGATTTAAAGGTTAACCATTCGATTACTTTTAAGGATCCCGAATCTACGTCGCGTCATACGGAGAATCAACTCCCGGGAAAATTAGCACAATATATTTTCCACAAAACTTGTGAAGGAAAAGGTGTTGAAAAGGCAGAGGAATTTTACCGCATTGCTGCAATGATGTATGACCCTACCAACCCGACTAGGCAACGGGATCCAGAAGAAATCTTGGATGAGTATCCATCAGATAATGCTGATGATTAAAATAATCAAAATTCAGCAATTTATGATATTAATATTTGGATTTTTGGGTTGCGTCTCTGTTCACTTCCTCGTAGTGCAACCTGGGTAACGCTAAGAACAGAGTGAATAGAAAATATTGATTTTTTATGGGAGTAGCTATTTGATACATTCATAATTTCGTTGTGTTTGGGTCTAGAGCAGTGTTTCCCAACCTTTTTTATGCCATACCCCACCTTAGTCTTTCTAAAATTCTTATGACCCCTCTATGTAACATACATAATTTTTAATATTAAAAAATTGAATTGTTCACTTAACCCTCCGTCGGGCGCAACTGGCCTGACAGGCACAAGTAGAATGTTTTCGCTCCTCTCTTGAGTCTTAAAAAGTGTAGAAGTCTGTACTTCTTTATAGTCTACTTTTTTACATTGATTTCATAAGCTCATTGCGCCCGGATGCGTCATAAATATTTTTGCCAATAAGTCGATTATTTTTTTCATCAAGTGTTTATTTTAGTTGTTTCTTCACATATCACGTAATATTCTATGATACTTCTATTTATTATTTTTTCTTCTATTGATATCTTTTTCGTGAGAACAAATTTAATATTTTATCTGCAAAACCTAGTTATAGTAAAAAGTCGTCTCGACGTTTTATATTTCTCAAACCAAATAAAAAAGAATTCCCACAATTGCAAATGTTGTTCCCAGTCGAAAAACGAAAGAAATGTTGACGATGTCACAATGTTATAACTGAACGTTTTGGAGTCAAAGGACACGGTAAAAATGCGGTTGATTGTTGGCATAATTTGTCCACAGACGACATTTTGGATCCAATAGTTAGATATACCGTCATCGAACTAAAGACTTTTATTGGTTTATTATACCTAGCAGGAGCACTGAGAGGAAATCGTCAAAGTTTGGAGGAACTTTGGGGAAAAGAAGGCGACGGTGTCGAAAAATTTGGATTGGTAATGAATATCAAACGGTTCAAAACTCTGATACGTTGTCTTCGATTTGACGATTTTACTACCAGAGCAGAACGAAAAGAAATCAATCGTCTTGCTCCAATTCGGGACGTGTTTGAAAAATTTGTAGAAAACTGTCGAAAGAGTTATAAAGTCGGAGAAAACGTAATAATCGATGAGATGCTACCAGATTTCAGAGGACGGTGTGCATTTCGGCAGTACATACCGTCCAAACCGAACAAGTACGGCATAAAATGTTTTGCCCTTGCTGATGCCAAGACGACTTATACGTTGAATATGGAGATTTATGCTGGGAAACAGCCTGAAGGTGTTTTCGCTGTCAGTAATAAGCCGTGTGAGGTAGTAAAAAGAATGGCTAAAGCGATATTTAGAAGCGGTCGTAACATTACAGCCGATAATTGGTTTACCGATATAGATCTCATCGATTTTTTGAAAAAGAAAAACTGATACGTTGGAACTGCGAGAAAAAATAAAAGACAGTTGCCCCCACCATTTGTCTTTGTCAATGGAAGGAAACAATACACCAGCATGTTTAGTTTCAGTGATGGAAAAACTTTAGTATCTTACATACCACGAGCAAAGAAGAATGTAATTCTCGTATCCACACTACATGACGACAACACCATCGATCCTAAATCTGAAGAGAAACAAAAGCCAGAGATAATCACTTTTTATAATTCCACCAAGGGCGCTGTCGATACCGCTGATCAGATCTTAAGAGAGCGAGAAATAGAATAGCTGAGGATCAGAGCCGTAGGACTATTTCTTATACTTTCTATATGGACAGACAAACCGCAAGAGTTCGAGTGTGCAAAACTATGTTTTGCAATACTTTAGGTATGTGTATGAGGACTATTACAGACTGGCTTAGTAAAGAATCACTATCACCAACTAGAATAAACAGTAAAAATTCGGAAGCTAAAACTCAATATCAAAATCAAAAACAATTAAGAAGTACTGATAAAAAGAAGAAAGTAATGGATTTTTTCAGCAGTTTACCAAAATTAGAATCCCACTATTGCAGAAAAACATCAACTAAACTGTACTTACAACCGTGTTGGAAAAGTAAATCTGAACTTTACAGATTTTTCGTAAATTAGTGGTGTAAAGACCGGAAAATTGAAGGGATAAGTAAGACAATGTTTAAATATATTTTTGATGACATGAATTTGGCCCTCTTCAGACCTAAAAAGGATGAATGCGATATTTGTGTGGGATTTCGAACCAAACATATTGCAGAGAAAATTTATCGAGAACACCTTAAAAGGAAAAGTGAAGCACGTGATGAAAAAGAAAAGGACAAGGAATCATCAAACTTAGTTATAACCATGGATTTACAATCAGTTTTGTTATGTCCCCAGCCTAATGTCTCCTCTTTATATTATAAGACTAAGTTAATAATTCATAATTTTACAATTTTTGACTTACATTCTAAGGATGGATATTGCTTCTTCTGGCACGAAGGAGAAGGCGAGCTAAAGGCTAACTGCTTTGCATCTATTATTTGTAATTTTTTGGCTACAACAATGTTACGTGATATAGATCTCAAGAATAAACCTGACATTATTATTTATAGCGATGGATGTGGTTCACAGAATCGTAACGCTACTCTTTCAAATGCCCTGTTAAATTTTGCGATGGAACATAATATTTGTGTCATACAAAAATATTTAGAAAAGGGCACACACAGATGGAGTGCGACTCCATGCACTCTATCATAGAAAGAAAAATATCTGGTAAAGTGATCAACGTACCAGCAGATTATATTCATTATGCAAAAACAGCTAGACTTCACCCAAGACCTTATGTAGTGCAGTATTTACACCACGATTTCTTTAAAAATTTCTCTAGCATTAATTTTGTAAATTCAATTCGTCCGGGGTTTAAGGTTGGTGATCCTACTGTTAACAACCTTAGAGCGCTAAAATACAAACCTGATGGATCTATTGAATATAAACTACGCTACTCCAATGAATTTGAAATTTTACCGGTTATAATAAATAAGAAGACTTTAATACCAATGGAAAATTTGCCGAAACTATATGGTGACAAATTAAAAATTAAGAAAGAAAAATACGAACATCTTCAATCTTTAAAAAATACAATAGAGAAAGATTATCATGATTTTTATGATGCTCTTCAACATGTTTAGTTAATATCTACTTCAACATCCTTAATTAATATTTTATTTAAAGTTAATATAATCTTATATAATAAAAGTTAATTGTGTACCAAGAATTTTTTCATTCCTATATAACAATAATAGTGTTTTCGGGTTCATAAAAATCGTGCGTCACGTCGATGTGAAAATTGCGTAAATCCAAAAAACTAATGTTTTTTGTTATGATTTTTGCCTAACTCCATTGTATTTTTTTACGAGTTTTTTTTTGTGTTGTCATTATCTATATGTTAACATAGGATCTTGCTTTAAGCATTATTGAAAAGAAAATTAAGATATATAAAATATTACAGTTTAAAAATGATTTTTTTTTGTCTCCTGTAAAATTTACTTTTTTGGACTTAGGCAATTTTCATATGACGCCAACGATATGAGAAATATCGCAAAATCAAAGCGATGCAGTACTATTCAAGCTACTAAATGATGCTGTCAAATTTATAGCTCATCGCCTAACTTTCTGAGATAGTGGGAATTTTATGTTTGTTTATGGCAGTTACGCTCCCTAGCGGTCGAAGTATGAACTTAAAAATAATTTTCAGCTATTTCTCTTGCCCACTTTGCTTATAAGCATTTTTTCCCCAAATCTCTAGGCCTTACCATTGTCGAGATACAGCCGCTCCGTACCGTTAACGGAACACCTGCATCTTTGTATATATACACCATAATCTTTAAATTTGTTGTTTGTTATTAGAAAAAAATAACGAATTATTTTAGACCATAGCCAACTACGGTTTTTATTTAAAAAAATAAAGTTACTTGTAAAATATCGAAAATAAAGCATAGGAAAAAATTCTACCTACACCACTGAATTCTTCGTAAAAAGTTACTCCTATAATGTTTTAATTATAATACATATTTGGTAATAAGTGAGATATTCGCGTTTGTCGTTTTCGCAAACATTTCAGTTTTTGCCGATAGGGCGAAAACAAAAGACGATAGCTGTCCGGAGTTTTTGGCATTAGCAGTTTCTTAAAAAATGAGATTAGACATGTAAGCTACTGTTTGTCTTTCTCTTTTAGTTTCGGAGATAGTCTATGCCGACAGCCTGTACTGTATTCCAGGCGGAAGTATTTGCTATTAACATGGGTGCTAAAATCCTTTTTGAGGCAGGGGTGAAGAATATGACTGTACGATTTTTCCCAGGCAGCTAAGCCGCTCTGCAGGCCGTGAAAACGGCGTCGGCTCTAGTTAATGACTGTAAAAGAACATTAAACACACTGAGTTTTGATAACACAGTTTCTCTGATCTGGGTCCCAGGTCACACTGGAGTTGCCGGTAATGAAGCGGTGTCGATAGGGCGAAAACAAAAGACGATAGCTGTTCGGAGTTTTCGGCATTAGCATTTTCTCGAAAAACGAGATCATGACATGTAAGCTACTTTTCTTCTATCTCTTTTAGTTTCGGAGATAGCCTATGCGGACATCGAAATTGGGACATTCTGTACATTAAGGTACAAAACTAATACAGTACTATAACGCACAGAAAATGGCAAGTTGGTATGTTAAACTGCCAGAATGTAACTATCTGCCAGCCCCCGCCTTATAAAAGGGGTTGTTTCTCGGAAACCGTTGAGGTACAAAACTTTTTTTGACAGGTACATTAAGGTACAAAACTAGTACAATATTTTATTGTACTAAAAGGTTCGTTTTTATCAAAAAATGTCGGGGGCTGACATGTAGGCAGCCCCCCATCACAAAAACGTTATAGTTTAAAAACCGTAAGGGGTACAAAACTTTTCGTTGGAGGTACATTAGGGTACAAAACTAGTACAATACTTTAGCATAAATTTTTTTTATTTTTAGGTATGTCGGGGGGCTGCCTACATGGACCTTACATTTTGTCCTAAAGTTGGAGTTTTGGAATTAATGAAGAAACACAAATTTAAACATTATGTTTATTAAAAAACAACAATTTACAATCTATTAACATAATTCGTAAATTTACGGACATTATCATCATAATCTTGTTTATTTTGTTGGCCGTGCTCTTTATTTAAAACATACAAATCAACAAATTTATTGCGAGTAATAATAACTAAATAACTCCTTTTTATGGTATTGTTTTGTGAAATATTGGGGGATAATTTAATATAATCAATGCGATCGTTAAACTTTAACGAACATATTGGAAAAATATCGCTTTTTGTTAAATCCCAAATATGAACAACATTTTTGCTATCTTTCGTATAAAAGACGCAAGGTTTATTTATCGACCATTGTATAAGATCTATGGACGACTCTTGGTCTTTGTTTGACATCGTCATAAGGGGTTTCTCCGTCTCTCTCGAGTAAAGTTTAACATTTCCGTTTTGATAACCACATAAAAAGTATAAAGGCGAAAACGGACAATTTATTAAACAATTCGATGCTATTCTATCGTTATTATTGTCGGTATAAAATTTCGGATGGGTTTTCTTTCCAGTCGTTATAAAATGTAGAATGTTTCCGTAATTCGTTGACACAAAAATTTGATTTGGATCTAATTTATTTACACACATATCCGTACATTGTAAATTATTTAAGTTCTTATACAAGTCTTTAAAATCGATCGTTGAGTTTATGTGTAAACTTAAAGTGTAATTTGAATTATTCAATTTTATCATCGACCAAATTTTTAATAAACCATCTTCATCTAATGTATAGATCTATGAACAAATATCAAAGTTAATTAAATAATGTAATAATTAATTAATAATTATCAATAATAATTTAAAAAATATAAATTTAAGAATAAATTTTTATTTAAAAGTAATAACTTAATTTATTGTTGTAACATGTGTTTATAAAGAACAAGGTCAAGGTCTTTGAAAGTGTAAACATAACCTATACCTAAAGAATTTCTTTATGTAGCAAAGTGATAAAGGTGTTTTGTATTTTTTGTGTGAGAAGTAAAATTAAAAATGGATATAGTGGGTCACTTATGGGGTCAAGAACTTGGTTGAAGTGAAAGTGCGAAATAGATCAATAAATTAAAAGGAAATTAAAAATTAGTAAGTTAACCTATAATATTACTGTCATACACATAACCTATAAATGTCACTTACTTGTTTATTTATGTATCCTTCTGAGTTTTCTATTTCTATCGGGTTTATCGCAATTATTTTCGAGTGGTGAGCTTTTTCAATGTCAGATATGTAAATTGGTGTTATGTAATCGGCTTTAATGTAAAAATCGGCGTTGTTGGTTAATGACCAAATAGAAATTGTTCTGAAATTAAAATTTTATTAGTTACAATATCATTTTTAATTTGTTCTTACTCCAATGCTTTAAATGAGTGGTATATGTTCTAGAATTAGTAATGAATAGCCAAGTAATCATTGTACTCTTAATTCCGAACAGACAATTAAAACAAAAATTGTATTTAATGGCAGTAATATACTTAATTATTTGATAAAAATGAATATGCATCATGATCACTGGTGATTGTGTTTAAGTACTCTATTGTCAGCTTTTCTATGATAAGTTCTTATTAATTCTAGATGATGTTTTTAGGAAGTGAAAGTACCTTACATAGATGTTTTACCAAGCCAAAACCCACACCGAATTAATTAAAGTACTTTCAAACAACCAACATTTTCAGGGGAAAGATTATAAATGTAGATTACCGGATTTGTTTAAATATTTGAAACTTGAATCTTGATGTAAACTACACACATTTAAGTTTACTTATTCACTAAATACAAAATGTTCAAACATGAGGAGACTCCTCCCTCCATTTATTAACCAAAAGTTGTACCTGATACAAAAAATATTGGTAACATTTACTTATTGCTTTGTAATACTTGAGCTATTGCCTTGGCTGAGAGGCTGTTGCAGGTTCCAACAACATAATGTTTTCATTTAAGGGAGTGAAAAAATCCCAAAGTTGTGAACATCGCGTGCGCGCTTGGAAATTCAGAGTTTTTGATTATTAGGTTGAAAATATGTAGAGTGTAGGGGCGCAGTCGTTGACTAAAAATGTAGGAATCTCATCTGGGCCAATTGTAGCCTTTGAATTGAATTTTTTGAAAGATTCAACCATTTCGTCGTAATTGACTTCGGATATACCAAAGGTGACAGAATTAGTATCATAAACAGCGTGATCGTTACCAGTAGGTTCAAATGATGCAGCACAGCACATAGCCTCAAAATGAGTGGCAAATAAGTCAACTACTGTTGGCAAATCGGACACATTTTCATCGGCCCACTTGAGAGAGCCTGGAGATCAGATATTGTTTCTGCTCATGTTAACAAAACGCCAAACGTTTTTTGGTTCTTTTCTTATGTCCCTTAGAGTTTTGACATAAACTTGTGCGATGATATCTGCAATGAGTTTTTCTATACAATTTATGGTGGTGTTTTTTTAATCTAAGCATTCTTATTAGGTTAATTGAATACCATACAGGATATTTCGACCTTGCATGCTTGCCCTCAGATTTAAGTACGTGAGTAGTACGTGTCCAGGTCCTTGTATAATGCTTCATAAAAAACATTACAGTATTGTTCAACCGATGATAACGTAAATAGATGAGTCCAGTCGATGTTAAGCAGTGCCTCGTACATGTAAGGCAGATAAGATAACATCTCGAGCTATCAAATGTGCAGGCACCGTTATCGCAATAGTAAGTAGTGATGCCGATTGGTAATTATCTTCTGGTACCCATGTAAAGTCTGAGTGTTTAATTTGAAACTCAAGTTTGAGGAAGCAAGTATCAAATCAAGAGTTCTATCAATGATATTCATTACATTATTTAATTGCAGAAAGTCATTATTACTGCAATATTAAAATCACCCATGACTATGGTATCCAAAGACATATCCAACATTGATTCAATGTAATCGAAGGTGTAACTATACATACTTTCCTCCAGGTGGGAAAATAGCAAACAACAATGTTAAAAGCCGATTTCGTCTTTTTAAAGTCAATCCGTACAGCTTTCAAGTCAATTGATTCAATAGGACAGGAGGCAACTCCGGAATTAACAGCCAGTAACATCTCTCCACCCTTACGGAGAGATCGATCACATCTAAAAACGTCATACCGGTCTGGTAAGATCTTGTAGTCTAGGACGCTCTTCTTGACCCAAGTTTCACTGACAATGAGAGCAATAACATCAAAGTCCGATGCATCGACCGAAGTAAAAAATTCATTGATTTTGGTAGTCAATCCGCGTGTATTTTGATAGTATATGTTGTACTCTTTCCGTTGGGAAGTAACTAGTTTTTCTTAACAATTCTCGGACATCCATTAATGAACTGTATTCTTAAATCATTTTCACCGTATTCAAAATCCGCATCTAACAATCAAAAAAAATTTAGCGTAAACGTGTGGATGGGGCTCATTGGAAATAATTTAATTGGTCCTTATTTTTTATCGGATGGTTTAACTAGCGCAGGATACAATGAATTTTTACATAACAATTTAATAGGCCTGCTTGACCATGTACCTTTAGAAAACAGATGTAATGTGGTTTTTCAGCATGATGGATGCCCGAGTGGATGCCTTGCACACTATTCCCAAAATGTTGAAAATTCATTAAATGAAATGTTTCCTAATCGTTGGATTGGGAGAGGAGATCCAATTCCATGGCCTGCAAGGAGTTCTGATTTGACGCCCCTTGATTTTTATGTGTGGGGCCACATGAAAGAAAGGATGTATGTTTACACAAGTCAACTCTAAGGATCAATTAATAGAAAAAATCAAAAACAAAGCATATGTTTTAAAAACATTAATTACAATTACCCCCCCATAAATTTTTGTATAGGGGTTGTTCTAAGACCGCTAAACCATCAAATAAACCAGCTCCGCTCAACATTGGATTCCATCAACAAGTTTTACGCTGTATCCTTTCTGGTTTTGATACATTAATAGAAAACTAACGGTCCTCGCCATAAGACCATGGATTCGTACAAAGAATCTTGTTTTCCAGGGTTGTGAATAGACTGCATTTTAGTATTGAAGTAAGTTTAGTTCAGTTATGGTTCCACACTCTTCGTCAACCCAGGAGACCTATTTGGTTCCTTTCTTCATTGATGCTGTTTCCTTCATACTCAACTTGTCAACTTCCTACAGCTTCCTTGTTATATTTTCTTTATAAAGTATGTTTCTATTTGGCCCTTATTATACTTTCCACAAGATAGTGGTCGGAGTAGGTATTTGCTGCACGCCTACTTTTAACAGTGATAACGTCTGAATGGTGTCTCGCATCAATGACCCAAGTTCCTTTGTATATATTCTTTCGTACAAAGTATAACCATAGTATAGAGGGATGATAACCATATTAAAGGATGCTGCTAGATTTATCAATCTGCCATCAATCATGTAGACTATATTTACCAATTCTTTGAATTGAGACCCTTTTTCCAATTTTGGCATTAAGATCACTTAATATAATCTTGAGTCGTTCTCAGGGCATCTTTAATGTCTTATTCTTTTTTCTCAGTTGGTTCGTGGGCGCGTAGGATGCTTTCCTCTTGACCTTAATGTGCAGACTCTTGGATATGTGCATGGAAAGCTATGATTAAGTGCTTAATCTTTTTATTCACAATGAATCCTGTGCCAATTGCATGTTCCAAGTTTGTTACCGTATCTCTAGCAGGTTTCCTCCGGTTTCTAGAGAACACCGCCTTTAGAGGCCTCGTGGAAACGAGTGTCGGAATTGGACAGGAAAGGCTATGCTACCATCTCTTCCTGTGTGATTATCGCATATATTAAACATTGAGTGGCATAAATTTAAAAATTACTTATCATATAACTTATTATAATATGACATCAGTAATAAATTGGATACAGATAGCATCAAAGTGTAAACATAGCAAAGAAAGCATTGGAGAATGAAAAAATTAAATTATTAATAACTTATTATATTAACTTACCCATCATTTAAACCAGCAAAAATATAATTATCATCCATAGATAAAGAATTAATCGTCCCATATATCGAAAAGATTTTTTCGGGTTGATTTTGTTGAGATATCTTCCATAAACACAACAAAGAACGTTCTTCTTCAATCGAAACATGCACAGTTAACATTTTTGTTATATTCTCCGAAAACGTAGCTAAAATAACATCGGTATTTTTCAAAAAATCCAATTCGGTGTTAAACGTTATATGACCATCACTAAACGGCAAACTCAATTGGTTATTTTCAATTTCCTTGCAATTATTTAACTGTGATTTTTCCTCTAACAAATTTAAAATAACCTCCGAAGCATTTCCAAGAAACTCTTTCAAATTATTTTCATTAAAACTCGAAATATCTTTTCTTTTATTTTCATCAATATCATCGAATCCAAATCCCAAATAATCTTGATGATACAGTTTATAATCCCCAAAATTTTCCTTTTTTAATTGAATAGGATTTTGAGTCCAAATTGTTCGAAATTCCACCGAATCCGTTAAAACCTCCTCATCGACATTATCATCCCCAGTTTGTGTGGAAATTTGAAGATAATTTCGATTTCCAAACGATTTCATAAAATCATCGTAACGAATCGGTTGTAACTCGAAAATAGTAAAATTTTGAATATCTAAATGGATCATTCCTAAAAGATCTTGACCCCGACGTTTTTTTAACTCCGCCGATTTAATCAGACTATTTTTTCGTTTCGCTTCTAAAAAATTTACGAAATGAATTTTTTCGTTTTTAATTTCTTCGAATCCTTCATCAGATGATGATAAAGAAGCTGGATTACTTAAAATCGCGTTGTTTATAAACTTCGTTAATGGTTTATTTATTAAGTTATTTTTATTATTTTCGATTTCATTTGATTCTTTGATGTTGGTTAAAACTTGTTTATGCTTCGTTTCGGAAATTTCGTAGTTTCCTGAATCTAATTTTTTTTCTTCTTCACCCAAATTGTTTTCTTTGATGAAGGGTTTTGTTGAGTTTGATTCTTTCTCGTTTGAGTCATCCGAAGAAATCGATGTTGTTGAACTGAGGGAGGATAAATATTCTTCGAAATCTGATTCGTAAGAATCAAAATCGCTTTCATAATTTTCTTCTTTTTGATACTTTTGATCTTTTTGGATTTTTAGAACGTTGTCTTCCTCAATTTCATGTTTTCGAATTGTTGCTGTTCCCGGTCTTTTAACATTACTGGTTGAGGCAACGTCTTGTTTTGGTTTTAACACTTTAACATCACTTGGACTCAAAGTCCTCGTTTTATTCCTCTCGCGATCTTTTAACTTTTCAGCAATTGAAAATTTTCCTTGATCCTCACTTACCTTTAAAGCATTTTTATACATTTGTCCTTTATTTGGAAAAAACTGGCTTTTAGAAACCCTCGGAGACGAAACTCCCGAAATACTCGATTTCCCCAACTTTCCTCCATCTCTAAACGAAGCTTTATTAACACTAACTTTTTCCTCCTTTTCTTTTTTCTTTGTCAAATTCGGATCTTCACGCGTTTTACTTGGATTCGTTTTCGTTTTGGTCGGTTTTGATTCCTTTTTGACATTCTAAATACACGTTTAAATTGAAAATACTTTAAAGTGATAATTTAAATTGAAATTTACCTGTTTTTTCGTAGACATAAGTCAATGATTGTCATTTAACCTCGCAACTTTAACTTTGTGAGTGTTTGGTCTACAACAAACGGCGAAAATCGATATTTTTCCAGGGTAATGCATTCATGGTGGGGTTTAGACTAAAATAATCAATAAATGAAAGGAAGGAAATAATTAATACGTAAAAGTTCTTTATTGATATGAAAAAGGCGACAAAAAATAATATCACAGGAGATAATCATAATCTTATTAATCATATTAACTTAACACTAAAAATAAACCAATTAAAAACAAAAAGACATTTCCAACAACTTTAATCGCGCCATTCGATAAAACTTCTTTGCAACTTTTAATTTTTTTAACAATTTCATCGAATCGTCTCGGCATCGCATCATAGTTTTTCGAAACTGGGACTTTTCGTAGTTCTTTGGTATCGTCGTGGAATAAAACGTCTTTTACGCCGTTAAATGGTCCATACATTGTAAAAACCCGCGTTGCTTCCTTAAAATTCTTTCCAAATAATAAATCTAGTTCTAAGAAAACGTCCAAAATGTCTTTTTGGCGCCAAGATGTTAAATTGTTGTAAACCATCGCTTGCCCAACTGGTGACCAAGTTAAATGGCAAGGTTTTGTGTCACAGATTATTTTCAAATCGGACATTGTCAATTTTCCAGTTTCATCTGTAATAATTAATAATGATAACGAAATAATGATAAACATTTTTATGATAAAAATAACTTACTAATGTACGAATTTAAAGCTTTCGTTGAAACGAAAGCAACATCAGCGTTTTTCTCCGTTAAGCAGTCTAAGGCTCCTCGATCACCTTGATATTTACTTTCACAAAGTTTAGTTAATTTTCCTTCGTATTCTGGCGGAATTCCTGGAACGCAACTTTCTCCAAAGTATTCGCTCATTGCTTTTTCATACGGACAGTAACTTAATTGATGTTGGAGTTCATTCAAAACCGAATTCCAAGCCATTCCATTATACATCGAAAAACAAGCTTTTTTCCCCATTAAGTCTTTAAAAGTTTTTATATCTGAATTGCTTTTTACAACTGCTATTATCTTTACTTTGTTTTCTTCTTGGACGGTTTCATAAAATAGTGTAGATAAACCGTATTTTCTGAAAATAAATAAATTATTTAATCTGTTTGTATTATTTTTGGTTTCGTCATTATACTAGCAAACTTCTATTTTAAATGGCCTACACTCAACTTTCTTAACTTATGGAAAAACCGCAACAAGTAAGTAAAGAAGAAGCAGTATAATCAACTCCATCAGATGAATAATATCATAAGTGGTATATCTACACCGTTATAAAAACTATTTGGCAAGGTCGCTTGCGGCCGAGGCATTACAATCTACTCTATTAAAAAGATATCTGAATATCTGAAGTGCTAGAATCGGATAAAATGGGCAGGGCATGTCCAGAGGATGCCGTATGATAAACTATCAAAGGAAACAATACAAAGACAGCCTGAGGACAAGAGAAACGCATAACACGGTAGAAGAATGATGTGCGGAAGGATGCCAGGAATACGTACATGTTATGAGCTGCAAACTGGAAAAAAGCATCAGAAGACAGAGATGGATGGAAGAAAAAAGCTGAGGAGACCAAGGCTCGGATTGCGCTGGAGTATCATTGGATAAATGATAGATACCTTGCTGAGTCTTCACATGTCTGTGGCAACTATATACAAGCTTCATTGGCATATAAGAGATTAGAGTGGCAAAGACACCTTACAACAATAACCCCCAGAAAATCAGCTTGCAGTCTTGTCATAACTGCATTATTTACATCCATCATTGAATTGCACCCATCGGATGCAAAATTAATCAGAATTAATTAAAACTTAAAGTATTCGCTACCTTACAATCAGGAAAGGCTCGTTTCACTATCTTGCTGAAGTGATCTGCAGCAAGGAACCTAATATTATGCTCAGCAAACATCATTTTAAAATTTATTTCGATTTCATTCCATTTCAATTCCGACTCTCACTTCCACGAAGCGTCTTAACGAGGTGAGGAATGCTATACAACTTAATAAGCTGTACATGGGCAGAAGAAACGATATCTAACGACTGGAAGAAGTATCATATGTCCAATACACAAAAGGGATGACAAAATGAAGTGCGGAAACAACAGGACCATTGCATTGCGTGTGCAGAAAAGATTGTTGGGTCATGGGGACAGACTAGCCCCTACACACTTTAATATATGTATGTCTGGAATATGTTACAAGAAATTAACAACAGTAAATCCATTGAGGTCTTATATAATCTAAAGTGCGTATGTGGTGGTGGTGCGGGTAATCTAAAAGTCAGACATGTTGGATGTACCGACCTGAACTTAGCTATAAATTAAAATATTATATAATTAATAATTATTTATCAATAAAAAATTAATGTGTTTTGGTTATTATTTTCTGTCTTTTCAGTTTATAATAATGCTCTGATGTGGAAGATATGGGACACCTGTATAAGACCTCAATGAGTAAATCTGTGAGACACATTAATCAACAAATTGAATCAGATAACAGCATTCGCGGATGACATAAAACAAAGGTCATGATACAAAATAAAAGAATATATGATCTTCCATGCGGAATATCATGGACGTAGATGATTACCCCTTGGGGAGTAAAATGTCAATATAGGATGGGTAACCAAGCCACACTGATTTCTACATTTTTTTGGTAAACTGGCTCCTAAACTACAAGTATTACTACTATTAATTTTGATGCAACTAATGCGATAAAAAAACAACAACAGAAAAATTATAAGAGTGAAATAAGAGGCAATGTAATCAATCGCGTTAACTTGATTGTTTAACTGATCTTATAAAACCATGCATAGTAGATGCAGTAAAGTTTGTTATGGGCGAGCAATATGTTGCTAAAATTAATGAAATATCTCTCTCCCCTAGCACAGTTCAAAATCGTATTGAAAAAATGAGTAACGATATTTTGGCCATAGTCATACTTAAACTAAAAGAATGCCCTATGTTGTTTGCACTGCAGTTGGACGAGTCAACTGACGTGTCTGCTTGTTCAAAATTGCTCGCTTTCGTTGGCTGTTTAAACGATGATCGTGTTGAAGAAGAATATTTGTTTTCTAAATCGCTACTCACCATTATGCGCGGTTTATTAACAATTAATTGAGGAAAATGATCTCAAGTTGTCATCGTTAGTTTTGTGTACTGACGCTGGTCCTTCCATAATTGGTATTCGTTCTGATTTTTATATATTTGTGAAACAAGTTACCATCAACTTATTATTGTATGATACATCGATATGCCTCGGGTGTTAAGATGCTACCTTCAAATTTCCTGAGGGTGTTTAATGCAATAGTGAAAATTTGCAACCATATTCGGATCAGTGCCGCAAATTCGAAAATTTTCAGAATTATGTCATAAAGTCGTTGCGAAATTTGATGCACATGTATTCTACACCGTAGTATGTTCGCTGCCAAGGGAAAATATTTTAAACAGGTTGTTTGAGATGCGCGTGGAAATAGCTTTGTTTTTTGAAAATCGTAAAACAGGAAAGGAGAAGAACTTTTACACAAAAATAAAAAACAAAGCATATTTGAGTCTATTTGTCGTATTTGACTGACATTTTCAGTTAAATTAACACTTTATGTCACTTATTACAAGGAAATATAAGCAATATTCTGATAGCGCAAGATAGGATTGTTAGTTTATTGCGAAAACTACAACTTTACAAACGTAGAGTTCAAGTTGGTGACATATCGATGTTCACGCACTTGTCTGAAATATTAAGCACATACAACGAAGAAATATTTCACTAATTCCATGGTTCAGCACCTATCTTCTTTGATAAATTCGTTGAACCAATATATCCCGGACATAGAGAACCGTCAAGCTTTACCATAGATACTGAGACCATTTTCTACAGATGAAGAAATCTTCAAAAAGAAAGATGTTTCAGCTGAACTTCAGTTTCTCAAACTACGTGATACTCTTCGCGAATGGAATTCCAAAATTGTGACTTAGCTATGTTTTGGACAAAAAAACAGAGCGAATATTTTATTTTAGCTGACAAGGCTTTAAGAACTCTAGTCCTATTTGGGAATACATATAGATGTGAGAGCGGCTTTTCAACTTTGGTTTCTATCAAAACAAAATCTAGGAATCGGCTCAGCGTAAAGCATGACTTACGATGTCTTGAAAAAAATCTTGTTAAGAAGAAGCAAAATCAACCATCCCATTAATTATTATTCAAAATTTATGTGTAATATATTTAATAATAAGAACATTATTATAGTACTGTACGGTATTTTTTATGAAGGGATAAATTCCCAGTCCCGGGCAGGTCATATAGGTAATGATGATGAAAAGCTTAAGAAATACTGATATACAACAAACATACATATCTCATAGTAAATATGACCCAAAATAGAGGTGAAGAGACCGAAATAAGGAGAAACATTTCGATCAAAGACCTTCGAAATATAACGAAATACAAAAAAAGCATAGAGGATATCTTTGAAAGGAGAATTCTGAGAAGATAGATAAGATAGAATACTAGCAGGGTCAGAAGTAGTGAGGTTGGACGAAGATCTCAAAATGAACCCTCAACGGATATAATGTACTATGAGAAAAACAACTTTTAAAAATTATGGTATTTTGAATCCAAAAATTGGATAATGGTACTAACTACTGATGACACGGATCGTCGTTTGGCCGGATTATCGAAATCGGAATTTTAGCCTTTTGCTAAATCGGATCGCCGGATCGTTCATGATTTTTCGCTAATAATCGTGCTGTCGACTGATTCAAATTTGTTTACGTGCAAGTTAAAACGCGTTCACTCGTTTACCGTTTAGTTTAATCCGTGGTCTATAGTTGTAAAAGGAAAAGCAGCGTCGACTAGTACGTTCACAGTTCAGACACCTGAATGAAGCTGAATATAAGACATATCAAAGAAAACCAATGTAAAGATAAGAAAATTGAAGAAATTTTAACGAAAAAGGTAAAACTGAAAACTAATGCTCAACAACTGACATTACAACAATACCAAGCGAAAAATAAATTTGGCATATTAATGACTAACGGGCTAAAAGAATTTTTTTCAAAATTGTTGAGATGATCTACTTAGATAATAAACCATATTCAATAGTAGAAGTTAAAGGATTTTCTTGTTTATTGTCTACTATTGCCCTATTTTCGTAACTATATAAAAATATAATATCTGATATTTATGGCTTACTGCGAACTCAAATTGCAAAAAAATTTGACATATTTTGCAACACTGGACACTGGATCCACTGGAAACGGGAGAGAAAACGTTGTGTTGAGTTGTGAAATTTTTCCAAGAAAACATATTGGATTAGCGATCGCACAAAAAATTTTGGATTTAACTTAACTATGGAACATAGAAATTAATTAAATTACGATATTGCGTGATAATGACAGCAATATTATTAAAGGCTGCAAAGATGCTAAAAGATAGCGAAAGTTGTTTCATTCCTACATTACAACTTGTAGTATATTACATTATATAGACTACATATCGGGTAGGCGGACCAACCAACCTTGCACCGCGACCCTAAGCATCTATTGTACCCCGATAGATCTCGTTATCAAACTTCACCATGCTCGGTGAAAGGTCTTAGATTCTTTGAGGAGATAAACTGCGACCCAAAAATCGAGAATCTGATACGGTAACAGTATGGCAGTGGCATAAAACATCCTCAACCGTCTCTGCTTCCTCCGCACATAGTCGGCTAACCCCAACAAGTTGAGGTGTGCTTTTAATCGGCAATGCTCAGTAAAGACACCCATTAGAACTTTTATGCTGCTACGACCAAGTCCTAAAAAGTTCCCGGGTTTGACAGTGGCGATGTTTATAAACACCTTAGCATGTCTCATTCCAGGAGAACTGGTCCACAGTAGGCGAAGTCTCTCTTCAGCCCACAGTCCAATCCTATATTTAGACATCACAAATGATACACAAACTGCTGGTTCCGGTCCCACAAACGCTTTAGCGCTGCCCTCTTATGCTAGCTCATCTGCCGCTTCATTGCCAGCAGCCCCAGATTGACCCGACACCCAGATCAGAGAAACTCTGTTATCACAACTCAGTGTGTTTAATGTTCTCTTGCAATAATTAACCAGAGCCGATACCGTTTTCACGGCTTGCAGCGCCTGGAGAGCGGCTTGACTGTCTGAGAAAATTCGTACTGTCATGTTCTTCACCCCTCTCTCAAGAAGGATTTTAGCACCCATGTCAATGGCAAATACTTCCGCCTGGAATATAGTACAGTACGTGCCCAGGCTGTAAGCTTGCTTAATTCGAGGTGCCTGGCAGTATACTCCTGCTCCGACCCCTTCCGGCGTTTTTGATCCATCTGTGAACGTGCTCAGGCAGTACAATCTGGTATCGAGCATTAATCACTGATAGTGACCCCGAAAAATCTGACGGCATTGATAGCACAGTATCAGTGCTTATAATCCGCCGCCTATTGGTAGGACATGTCGGAACAGTTTTGGACATATTGCTTAAATCTGTAAATGGTTGTTCTAGCCAGTTTCTCTATATGCAAATGCAGAGGAGATAGGCCAAACAGAACCTCCATTGCTAGAGTTGGCGATGTGCTTATCGCACCAGAGATTACTAATCCAGCTACTCGTTGAATTCAACTTGTAGTAACCGATGCCGTTCCTTCACAAAAGGCTAGTTACAAATTTTAATCATTCTTCTTTAGCATCGGATAAATTATTCAGAATGATTTGAACATGATACAAAGAAAAGTTGTACCAAATGAAAAGAAGTTGTCTATAAATGAAATTAAGTCTTTATGGCAATGTAATAATGACATTGGTACTATTGGTTCATCATCACACCAAGCCAATAAAAAAAAAACTGCCACAAAAAGGGAAGATAAACATAAATTTCTGCAGCAAATTAATGCATTTTTAAATTTACCTATAGTAGGCAGAAGTATACCGAATTAAAGTATTTGTCAATCCATGAGCTGATTTGCTGCCATTTTGCTCAGAATTCACTTAAATAGCGTATTATTTCATCAGACAACCTAATACCTTTCGGCTTATCAAATTATTTTTTGATTTATCATGTTTGCATACATAACACAAAAAATGGTCAAAATGGGTTTAGGTTAATCAAAATGTAGATGACGAATTTCTGCACGATTACAGTAAGGAAGTGGAACAGCTTTGATGTCCTTTTCAGTTTTTGAGTTAGATATTTTTGACGAATTTTTAATAGGATCTTAAATATTACTGCCGGGAGGCGGTCAGCTCTATTTTGCTTACTTATTTAATATTGACTAAAATGTTTTTAGTTGTGAGAATGCTGTATAATATCTGATTACAATAAAAATATATGATTTTAAGTTATCGTTTTTCTGATCAATAATTTGAAAGATCACGGATTTCATTTAGACTGTTAATCGTGTAAAAGAAACGAATCCCCTAGTGTTGGATATCTAAAATAGGACTAGATATTGTTGTGGCACTAATATTTATTAGTAGTTCCAATAAAATTATATTTCAAGGAGTCGACCACCGTGGCGGTAATATTTTTATGCCCATTATGGCAGAACTAATCAAACACCATCTTAAATACCAATAAGAATAAATGGATGTGCAAAATATGTTATCCCCGTTACTTGGTGCATAAATACACTGCACAACAATTTTTGCACTCAGACTATTGTGAGAAGTTTCTTGTGCAAATGGATAATATAACTATTTGTTTTTGGATTTTATCGAAAAGCTATTAAAGTAGTCAATTATTCAACTATGTCTCCCAATCAAGTTTACAAATGCATTCAAAAACAAGCAGCATAATATTGATCAACATAATATTTGCAAACCTTATGTTGATGATTTAACTTATTTTATTATTATTATACTAACTATTATAAAATTAAGATTCACTTACTCGACTCCTGTTTGTACATAATCCGGCTCTACAATAACAACATCGGCTACATCCATCTGTATAGCCCTCATACAATGCGTAACATTATCAGCTTTCAAACAATCAATATCCGGAGCTATTCCGCGTACTTCCGCCGCTTCCCGCATCCAATCGCATTTATACTTGGATACAATTGAAGTAGTACAAATTTTAACCGTTCTGGGCGGATGACACGACGTAAAACTATTCGCACTTAAAAACCCGGGAATTTTTAATAAATAAGATTCGACCGGTTCCACCGTTTCCAAACTGCCCAATTCGGTGTGATAATTAACCACTTCAATAAGATCCATTAAAGACTTTTGCCACTGTAAACCAACGTGGCTAACATTGGCAACGATTTTTTGGACCGCCGAAGCCGTTGAGCTGCTTGCTCCAATAACCGCCCACGGTTTAGCGACCCAAACACACGGCGTTGCCGTTAACGGTCTTGTTGTGTCATCGGAACACAAAAATTTGTAGTCATAAATAGTTGTATCGTTTGTTGAATTCCTATCCTTGATGTTGTTAAGTCCAAATTGGGATATTGCTGTGTTTAAAGTAGTCCAAGCGATGTCTCCGGATCCATCTCGTAAACAAAGGAGAGAACCGGATGTTCCGTAGTATTGGTCATGTGATGAACAACTTGATGGATTATTGCATGCTTCACAAAGGTTTTTGTATTTTCTTTCTATGATTAAAGAAGATTAAAGGTTGTGTTAAATAAGCTTATTTGATTTAATTTTAATAATTACTTAATTCATTATCTAATTCCCTATCGTTTACCCATGGTCCTGGTTTGCAAGCTTTTTTGAAAAACTTTGAAGTGGCGTTAATACGGTTTTCTGGAACAGTTACGGTTTGTTCGCAATTTGGTCGTACCACGGAGGTTTCAAAATACTGTGGAAAAATTTATTAGATTTGTTAAAATGTAAGTATTAAGAAAAAAGACGTACATCCATTAGAACTGTTGAGATGATCCCATCATTTATGTATCCTGGATGACACAAAGTTTTTCCGCTTAAATCGTAACTAGATTCAATCCCGGACGATTTTGATACTATTGCGACGAGTTGTTCTTCGAATTTTTCTTTAAAATAACAAATATGTAAATAAATGATGTTATTAAATGTTTAATTGATCTAGATCACGGGTTTTAAAGAATATACCTAGAGGCAACGTAGAAATTACGGAAACGATTTATAAAATGACATGATACTGCGTTGTAATAATGTTTAAAATTACTAACTATGTGTATCATGCAATTTATAAACGTCATTTTGTAAACAAAGTTATTACATCCATATTTATTGGAATTTATTTTTATTATTTATTTCGATTCTAATAAAATTTACCTTTATCGCTAGTTCGTATTTCATTGGTGATTAAAACATCATTATAAGTATTGGCCGCAGCAACTAAATCTTCCGGGGTAAATATCGCAAAATCAGCCTTTCCTTTTCGAATTTTCCTCAAACAATCAAATCTATCGACTCCCGTTACACACGAAACCATACTTTCTGGCACTTCTAAATTCGGACAGTATTTAGACGTTTTTTGGAATCCTCCACGTCCGTCAACTACACATATTTTATCTAAAACAAAATGATTTCGTTTAACTTTCAGTTACTTAATTTTGAATTACTTAATTATAAATTATTTGATTTTAAATTGTTCTCAGAAGGTCATCATATGGGACATTTTACGAATTGACGTCAACAGATTTACCAACAGCGTAAAATCCCCGTTCCGAAACTTTCTTTCTTATTATCCAATGTGAATTAAATTTAACCTGAATGTTGTATTACGAAATTTTCCTCGAATACTTACGTTAACCTCGTTATCAAGAAGTAGGTATAAGAATCTTAATATTTATGGTTATAACATTTATTAGCATAAGAAAAAATGTGTGTACATGTGTTTGTAGAAATAAGTTATTTGCGGTTTATTATTTGTTTTATATTTGAATACTACTTTGTTTTAATCAAATTATTTCTAAGAAAAGTAAAAAAAAAATTTTAAGTGTTTTAACTACAAATCTTTTTATAATTTATTACTGCAATCTATCGCATATAACAACAATAAACAGTATGTTTAACAATTTATATCAAATAAAACACAGATTTATATAAAAGGAACCTACTGAATAGTGGGCCTAGAAACAAAACTAAATTAAAGGTTATAACTAGAGCTCGGATGTGTATGCAGTCAAATTATAGGAAATATGCGCATAAATATGCAAGCTTTTTATTCAAAATATGTGGAAATATGCAAACATATACCTTTCTTATAGTTTAAACAGAAAAATTTTTACTTCAAAACTTGCTTTTATTAAATATGCTCAGTACATGTTTCGAGAGAAACCTCTCATCTTTAGCTGAATCTAATATAATGATTGGATACAATATTAATATACATTACTAAACTATTTTAAAAATAAAAAAACTTACACAGTTTTTGATTGAGTTAACAAATTATCTACAAACGTGTTTTTTTTAAACTATTGCTTTGATCAAAGTTTTGTAAGAAACCAATTGATAGATAATTGATCACTTTACACGCGTAGAGAGCAATGCTGTAGATAATATTTTTAAAAAAGTGCTTTTTATTGCAGATAATGTTTAATTTTAAAGAAACTTTGATCCGCTATATCTCGCCAACGAGGCATTTGCGACCCCATGTATATTAAAACTATTCATCTTAATTTTTCATGTATTATCTACTCTAGAAGTCTGTCAGCGGTTTTTTGAATCACCCTGTATATATAGAAATATTTTCTTTTTTAAATAGAAATATTTTAGTAAGTTTTTAATATTTGAATAAGTTTTATTCGTAATCGATTTTAATTCGTTTTTTGTAGTTAATCGACTAGTATTATGAATTTTTTCACATTCTACATAGGTTTTATATAGTTAATTATGACGTAAGTTTTTTTATTTTTAAAATTGTTTAGTAATGTATATTAATATTATATCCAATCTTTATGTTAGATTCAGCTGAAGATGAGATGTTTCTCTCAAAACGTGTACTGAGCATATTTAATAAAAGCAAGTTTTGAAGTAAAAAATTTTCTGTTTAAAGTTATTCTATACTTGCAACATGAATCACCTGGAATCTTTCTTATAGTTGTTATCAATCTATTTCTATCACATTTTTGTATATGTTTTGCACTTTTTACATGTTGTTCTATTTATTTTCTTCCTCTCACACGTTTCTTAAAAAAGAATAATTAAAAAGTTAGCCATAGATACTCCAACAGATGAAAATTTAATTCTGAGACCAGTGCCGGCGCTAGCAAATGAAGCGCCAGGGTGCGGGAACCAGAGTGGCGCCCACCCCAAGCATTTTAGGCGGAATGCGAAAACATACATAACATTGGCAGAAGACTAGATACTGCTTCTAAAAAACTAAATACTGCTTTTTGAAGACTAGATACTGCTCTGGAAGATTAAATACTGCTTTCTGAAGATTAGATACTGCCGACAGGTCTAAATACAGCGTCTGGAACACTAAATACTGGATTCTAAAGACTAAAATTGCTTTGTGGAGACTAAATACTGCTTTCGGAAGACTAGATACTGCTGACAGGTCTAAGTACTTCAAAAGAAAGATAAGATATTGTAGGAGAAAACATACATAACGTTGGCAGAAGACTAGATGCTGCTTCTAGAAGCCTAAATACTGCTTTCTGAAGACTAGATACTTTCGACAGGTCTAAATACAGCGTCTGAACCACTAAATACTGGTTTCTAAAGACTAAAATTACTTTGTGGAGACTAAATACTGTTTTCTGAAGACTAGATACTGCTGACAGGTCTAAGTACTGCAAAAGAAAGATAAGATATTGTTGGAGAAAACATACATAACGTTGGCAGAAGACTAGATACTGCTTCTAGAAGACTAAATACTGCTTTCTGAAGACTAGATA